TGCAATGCGTCGACAACTGCGACTCTCCCTCGCCGAAATACCGCCAGCACTTCGAACAGCCCGTCCTTCAGACCCTACAGATGTTTGTGGGCGAAATGGGCTGCTGGCTCGTCATCGGCCTATTCACCCTCTACCAGCGGTACGCGAGCGCGAAGGCAGGCTACGAGGCCATCCCGGACAACGATGGCGCTGCAACACCAGGTTCAGATGATAGCGAGACCGGCGCTGTTGCCAACCCGCTGAAGCCTGCGCATCCCGATGATGAGGGCAGGATACCACTCGAGGGACGAAGCATCTTCTTGTTGGCGCTCCCAGCATGCTGCGACATTGCCGGAACAACGCTCATGAACGTTGGTCTGCTGTTTGTCGCAGCTAGTATCTACCAGATGACTAGAGGTGCTCTGGTGCTTTTCGTCGGTCTGTTCAGCGTCTGGTTCCTCAAGCGTCATCTGGGACTGTACAAGTGGTTTTCGCTCTTTGTTGTCGTTACTGGTGTTGCGGTCGTCGGACTCGCAGGCGCCATCACCAAAGACGACAAAGCATCGCCCGGACACCAATCCATTCACGATGATACCACTGGCTCCGTTGGTGCGCAGGCTGCCACTACTCAAGCTGCCATGACCATCATCGGTGTACTGCTCATTGCTGGTGCGCAGATCTTCACCGCGACTCAGTTTGTGCTCGAAGAGAGGATCATGGAGAAGTACGCCATGGAGCCGATCAAGGTTGTCGGCTGGGAAGGTGTATTCGGCTTTTTGGTTACGCTCATTGGCATGATCATCCTACACTTCGCAATTGGAACTGGATACTTCAACGCGAGAGAGGGATTGTACCAGATGACGCACTACCGCGCTATCGCAGTATCGTCGGTGCTGATTATGATCAGCATTGGGTATGTCTTCCAACCTCCTCCCTCACTCTATCTCTTACTGACCCGCCACAGTGGCTTCAACTTCTTCGGTCTCTCCGTGACTCGCACCGTCTCTGCCACTTCGCGCTCGACCATCGATACTTGCCGCACCCTTTTCATCTGGATTGTGTCGCTTGGCCTTGGCTGGGAGACCTTCAAGTGGCTCCAGGTTGCAGGTTTCGCTTTGTTGGTGTACGGCACGTTCTTGTTCAACGACCTCATTCGCCCACCGCTAAAGGCGTGTGTGGAGAGGAAGGCTGAGCCTTTGCTCCCTGAGGGTCCGATCGAGCATCTCTAGCCTGTGGAGAGAAATAGAAGCAAGAAGGTCGAGGAATACTGTATATATCGTGCATGAGATTGGCGTTGGTTGGCGCACGGTAAGCTCTTCTACGCGGGCATTGAATATCATCTTTTGCATCAGGCCTACATGAATTACGTTCGTTGACACTCATTAATCGTGAGACCCCGAGAGCGCCTCTTCGTGCGAGGGAGATACTTGATAATACTCTTCACTTGACCGGGTAATACATGTGAAAGGAAAGATAGTGTAGTACGGTATCTATTTCTGCTGTTCTTGGTAGGGAGGGGCTGTCTAATCATGGTCGGTGGTGGAGGTGGTCCGAGCGCTAGTCCACACCACTCGCTTAATATTGTGATTCCCAAGTCCATCAACTACGACTTCAACAACGGCTCGACCTTTCTGAACACCCACGCCCGGAGTTCAGATACGCCCTTCCAAAGTTCGACAAAATGGCCACCACTCAAACCACCATGTGAGTTTATCCGGACGCCTCTATGACGCGCAACCGGGAATGAGTACTGACGGCCTGCAGCTCCAAGAGGAGAAAGTTCGTAGCTGGTACGATATACCCTTCCCACACGCAGTAGACGGAGAATAAAAGGAGACGGCGATCATCGGTGTTGCTGCATGGCAAAGAGCCTGCGGAGCCTAGGACGTCGAATGCGAAGATCGCGGGACATTGCGCACACAGAACGGTCGCTAACATGACCCCTCACAGACGGTGTTTTCTACGCCGAGCTGAACGAGTTCTTCCAGCGCGAGCTGGCCGAGGAGGGCTACTCCGGCGTCGAGGTCCGCGTCACCCCCACCGTCACCGACATCATCATCCGCGCCACACACACCCAGGAGGTTCTCGGAGAGCAGGGTCGCCGCATCCGTGAGCTCACCTCGCTCATCCAGAAGCGCTTCAAGTTCCCTGAGAACTCCGTCTCCCTCTACGCCGCCAAGGTCCAGAACCGTGGTCTCTCCGCCGTCGCCCAGTGCGAGTCCCTCCGATACAAGCTTCTCAATGGTTTGGCCGTCCGAAGGGCTTGCTACGGTGTGCTGAGGTTCATCATGGAGTCTGGCGCCAAGGGTTGCGAGGTCGTCGTTTCCGGAAAGCTCAGGGCCGCCCGTGCCAAGAGCATGAAGTTCACCGTACGTACACACATTGGGCACATCGCAATGACATACTGACGTTATCTAGGACGGTTTCATGATCCACTCCGGTCAGCCTGCCAAGGACTTCATCGACCACGCCACTCGCCACGTCCTGCTCCGCCAGGGTGTGCTCGGTATCAAGGTTAAGATCATGCGCGGCTCCGACCCCGAGGGCAAGGCCGGCCCATCCAAGACTCTTCCCGACTCCGTTACCATCATCGAGCCCAAGGAGGAGCAGCCCGTTGTCCAGCCCATGTCGCAAGACTACGGTGCCAAGGCCATCGCTGCTCAGCAAGCCGCGGAGCAGGCCAGGCAGGCCGAGCAGGGCGAGGGCGAGGCCCAGCCAGCTGGTGGTGAGGGCTACTCTGAGGAGCAGTAGGTTGATACTTTGCTGCGGGCGCAATGAGGTTACGAAAAGGCATTTAGCGGAAGGATATGATGCCATGACGAACCCTGACACATCTTCCTTTGCACATTCGGAATGGACTGGGCTGCTTTTTTGACACGGGAGGGAAAGGAGTCTGCACTGCTTTACTGCTATGTACTCAAATGAAACCACCCAAACATCAAAGATGGCTCTGACCACGAGTATGTTCTGATCGACGTCACTGCTGTCTTCACTACATCTCTTGACTTCAAGTATTGTCTGTTCATATTGATTCACAGGTGGGCTGATGTCATATGACGTGCGGGTGGGCCCCGGGGGACTGTCACAGTGTCCCACACGTGGTGTCTTTGGGGTTCTACCGTACGCAACATTTACAGCTTCGCACCTCATACAAGAAAAACAGTCAACAGGTCTAGAGCCTACATTAACGTCAGGTCACCTACTTTGCATGTTTTTATCTTGATGTAGGCTCCACAGTGTGTCGCTCATATGCTGCCGAACACAGCCAAGCTACTCATGACCTTGCCATCGTCACCAACCATCAAATTCCACCCGCAGCTGCTGCCTAGCCCAGGGTTCGCGATCCAGGCCGGCTCCCAGTAGAACAACCCAGTACCCTTGCCATTCGGCACAGCAGCCACACGCTTCGCAACCTCTTTCATCCACTGCGTCTGTCCATCCACACTAATCGGAATACTCTTCACGTCCGCAGGGAAAGCGTTCGACGGGTTAGGGCAGTAACTCGGCCAGTTGGTCTCCACAACCATAACCTCCTTACCGTACTTCTTCGCCATGTTGTTCAAACTCGTACTGAGCGCAGACAGCGTAGCAGCGCTGTTGTAAAACGGATAGTAAGACACGCCCTGGACATCATAATCTGCAGCCGATAGCCCGCCGCCCGAGCCCAACACGGTGTCGTACCACCACTGCTGCGTATCCCATTTCCAGCCATTGTCCAGATGAATCATGATCTTGGGCTTGGGGCTCATGGACGATTCCTTGATGGCCTTGGATGCGGATTTGAGCAGGGCAGCTACATTCTTCGGTCCATCGGTGCCGGAGAGCTGGCCGATGGGAAATAGGAGTCCGGGTGTGATTTCGTTGCCAATACTGACGAGGTTGAGGGCTATGCCGTTGGTAGCGAAGCTGTTGAGTACGTTCTTCGTGTAGTCGTAGACTTGCTTGATGATGGCTTCGCGGTTCAGCGACTTCCACGCTGCGGGCACGACTTGTTTGCCTGGGTCCGCCTGCAGAGGTAGAGGTATGAAGTCAGAATTTGTCTCACATGCACTTCGTACAGTCAGAACTTACCCAGTTGTCGCTGTAGTGGAAGTCGAGATAGATGCCTAGGCCGGCTGCTTTGGCGCGCTTCGCGAGCTTGATGTTGTAGTCGAGGTTGTAGTTTCCGTCGGACGGGTTCACCCAGATCCGTTGGCGCACGGTGTTTACGCCGCTGTTCTTGAGGATGGTTTCGAGGGGCTGGACGGTGCCGGCAGCATTTTTGTATTTTTTACCAGCTGCTTCTTCGATCAGGAGGGAGGACCAGTCTGCGCCTTTGTAGGGGAGCGCTGCGAGTGCCGTGCTGGCGAAGAGGAGGAGAGACGTGAACCGCATCGTGAGAGTGATCGATACTGAGATAGATGGCCCTTATCTCTCCAAGGATACAGCAGCTATATACCAGAGAACATCCCGTTACCTGTTACTGATCAACGACGTTTTAGAAGTACGGACAAACCTCTACATGTGGCAACGCATCCCCTCCTCCAATTTGCACCGTTAGCTGTATGCATCTGAACGTGACACCAGAACACTAAACAAAATGCATGAACAATAGTACTTCCTCCAATAACACCCGGTGCCACTATACAAAGCGCAGTTTCGAAACATATGAACTACCGAAGCGAGCTTTGCCGTGTGGGGAAGCTGGCCGGGGTAATGACAAAAGCCCCGGAGGAAATCTAGCCTAGGATGCCGCGGAACACGTGGGAGCGGGCGGAGGAACGAGTTCCGGAACAAGTAGCTTATGAGTGCCTTGCTAAGCTCGTAGTGTTGGGCAGAGGTTTTGAAGATGGGATTTTGTCTGGGTGAGTTTGTTCATATTGAAAGTGGCACAATTGTGACAATGATCCTGGAAGAAGTGCCCAAATGGTCTGTGAGTGAAACAGCCCGAAGACGTGCAGGAGAGAAAGCATAGGGGCAGTTGTGGGCATTATGTTTACAGCAAACCTACAGGATATGATGACAAAGGCGCGATTTCTGCTTTACTGGTCGAAGTTCTTGATCTCAGGCATCATGCCGAGACCCTTTCCTTCCTGTTTTGTGGTGCCTTCGCCTTCGATGACGCCTCCTGCCTTGCGCTCGTTGACGTGCTTCCGGAGCAAGCTGAGAATCTCGCTGCCCTTCCACCTGCTAGGCACAGGCCTGTACGCGGGCTTGAAAGTGCCCACAGTCTGCGCCCACTCGCCCTCTCCAGGTTGTCTTTTGCGCTCGTCCTTCTCGGGCAGCTTCGTCTGTGCCGTCGCGTCCATGCCCTGTGCATTGGGGTTGGACATCGCAGCGCCACCGCCCTCAGCTGTCTCGTGAGACGTAGGTGTGGGTTCTTGAGTCGCCCAGTAGTAGATATCCCAGTCGTTCTCGTCGAGGAAGGTGTCGTATTGCTGCATCAGGGAAGGAGACATGGTGCTTAGGTGGGCGTCGGCGAAGGTGCTGAGGAGGAGATCACTTTCTAGTGTTCCCCTCTTGCGGCTCTGATCTGGTTTTTCGTTAGCCATGTTTCGTCCTGGTCACCAAATCGCGTATTTCATGGGGCCATAGGGAATGGGCAGTGTATGAACGGACATAATAACCTCGCACGCATGGTGTTCGCGTCCTCGCCAGTCCTGCGGATAGGTTCGACCTTGAACTTGGCGCCCTCCATCTCGCCAACACCCAGTTCGCTGTTCGCTCCGCTGACGTCCTGATCCTTGCTGCCCTGTGTACCGCCTGTCATGCGCTCGGTGTTCTCGGGCACAGAATCCTTGGGTGCGAATTTGGCGTCGGCGTTGGTGATCAGCTCGGGCGGGGCTGCGTCATTGCCAATTGAAGGCATCTCATTGGCAATGGTAGATGTGGTGTTGGTCAGGTGAGGGTTCAGAGGTCTCTCGATCTGGTATTTGCGGTACGTCTCGGAGGTGTCGTTTGTGCGCTTGTTGAGAGCTTCAAACTCATTGCTACGGAGGGTGGAGATGCTGAATGTGCGGCATTGGGTGCGCGGGAGGGAGAGGAGGGCGCGCGATGAGCGAGCAACTAGTCTTGAGGACGCCATGGTGCAGAAAGTCTGTCGCGAGGCTTCAATTGGCGTTTGGACAGATTGTAGAAGGTGGTGTTGCCGAGGGTCGTAGAAAACGTCACCGGGCCAAAGCTCGCTCGAGGATTACTAAGACGAAAATGAACCCTGTGATCGCCTCGTGAAGTCTATTACTCCTACACATCGCCCAATAGCATCGGTCATTCAATGCGCAAATCCCGCGACATAACCGATACCATCAGAGGCGACCACACGTCCGTAAAATTATCGCAGCATCACGGGTCATGGACATTCGCAGCAAGGGTCTAGCGGTATTGGCCGCTCATCGCATTCATTCCTACGCTAGGACCGCTTTGGATGAACGTCTGCCTCAGTGCCTTTTTTGAGTCCTTGTTTAGGTGCTATAAGCCAGTGAGTAGTTGCCGATACGGGAGCCTAAACAACCGTGCAGCTACGACCGGCCAAATGTATTCGTCAATGTACTCCTCAGTATCACTGCAATTCATACGCTCCTCAACCGCCCTAAGTGGAAGACTGGTCACCATTGCGTTGCTTCTTTTCTCTACGAATGACCAACCCAACTATCAACTCTAATCTCAAGCTCCGAAACAAGGATAAGCAAAACGACGATACTATGGAGCAAGCATACATCAAAGCCCAGCAGATTCGGTGCTCCAGTCTCGTCACATTACCGGTCGAGACAATGCCCAAAACTACCACTTCACGCCCCCCTCTCCCCCCCTCTCCTCGCTCTACCGGACGAGATCAAGTTGATGGTACTGTCCGAGTACCTACCTTACAACAAGTTCTTTGTTCGCCCGGATTTCGAGGGGAACCAGCTTCATACATTCGATTTCGCGAGACAAGTCTTGCCACTCCTGGTGGCCATTCCAGAACTGAAGTATCTGGTATACGATGTGTTGTTCAAACAGAATAAGATTCTGATAACGACCTCTCCTCGTGGCGGCATACCATACCCTCCTGGGTGGATAAACGCGCTAATTCCGCGACTATGCGTGCGCATACACATGACTGAGAAGGGTATACAATTTCTACGCCAGCTAGCGACGGGGAAGCTTGGGTTCGAGAAGCTCGTCGAAATCGATATCAGACTTACGGCCGCAAGGATGAAAGTCATCTCGACAGAACCTACACTCCTAACACGTCGGTCCAGCGAGCCTCTAGTACCGCATGTCGCAGTGGTCTTAAAGAATATGGAGTCTATCGTATTCCCTTACAAGACCATCTCAGTATCTTGCGCATATGCTGATAACGTAGGCTACAGAGATAGCTGGAGAGATTTGTCAGGTCGAGCAAGCATACTAGGTGCATTCGCAAACAGACTACTGAGCATGATCGGCCTGCACGAGGATATGTCGGAGAGGTATAGCTGCTATAGGAACAAAGATGGCTCCATACTGAAAGGTGACGAAGACGCGGTGTGGCCTTATGAGCCGGCCTGCGAGTTATTCGAGTACACCCACGTGTTACAGATAACGACGAAGTAGGGCGGGCACATCTTTGAACCAGAATACTTGTCGTTGCCACTGAATGGGACGATCCGCGGAGTGATGCGGACGACGACGCTTCGATATTTTGGCTCCTAGGCTGTCGAACATGAAACCGGATATGAGGTGTCAAAATCCAATTAGAGGTATTCAAAGTCGTCACAGACTATTTGACCGTTCCCGTGCGAGGAATTCCAGTGACTCTTATCACGAACCCAATGAGTTGTTATATATATTCATTCAAGCTCAGCAGTTATCTACCGAAGGCGGTGTATAGGTATATTAGAACGAACAGGGGTATTGCCTCACTGCCGACTTCGGTTCAAAATCTATACTCAGCTTCTCATCTACTTGATCAGAAGCTTGATTGAAGTGCGCCCGAAGCCACGGTCAGACAAAGGTATACCCACCGCTTCTCTCTCGGGCCACGTACCCACGTATTCTTTCTCTGATTCAGGCGATTCCCCGGAGCGGTAGTATCGACATAACTTCGCATCGCTGTTCTGAGCTTCAGCTATCGCAATCTTTTGCAATAGCAGCTCTTCCACAGGATCGCAGACTTGGGTACGTATCCATATCAATACAGGGTCCGTGACAGTAAGCCAGGCATGTTTGTATGTGATCTTTAGTTTCTGCGTGTGGAAAAGTATTGGTGCCATAGCTTTGAGAGAGTGTCGCATTTCTTCGATTGCGGGCGGGAACTCATTTTCGTCGTCCGTGAGGTCCAGTGCCTCGGTTGCCTCTACCGACGATCGGAGGTACGGCAAAACACGACCATCGATGTCTATCTCCACGGAGCGTAGATCTGGAAACCCTATATCGCCATTAGCTAGCCGAGATATGTAGTTCAGACTCTTGAGCGTGAGTGTGATGTTGATATGGAGATGCCGAACAAACTTATTGATGGAGTGTGGCGGAAAAGCGCGATTCTCCATCGCAAAAGGATTGCAAACGACCATGGTGTTTTGACCGTAGAAAACTTCATAGATCATTCCGGCCATCCCAGGGATTGCACGCACAAGATTTAGCCAGCAGTCTTTGTAACAGGCGAGTCCATCGTGCGTATAGGACTCGCGGATTCGACAGTGACACGACCTCCGAAACTTTTGTCGATTGGGTAGAGCTAGGCGCAGAATTTGTAACTTAAACTCATCTGGAAGAGCTAGGAAATAATCGATGGAGCGCTTGGACCGAATCGACTTCTTCAATCTGTTGATGCCGGGAAGACTGAAGCGAGCGAGAAAGCGCTTGATAGAGCGTTTGGGTTGAACGACCAATTTTAGTTCCATCATGCGGGGAGGCCGGGTTGGTTGAGTCGATAGTGGTGGAGTGGAAACAGTTTCTAGGGAATAATTGCTCGGGACTAAGAGTAAGCCTGCAGGAGTGAGTGGTATAACATGAGTGCAGACTTGCGGTGGCAGCCAGCATGTTGCTCGAGCTTTCACTAAATCACGGGCCCACGCCAACCTAGGAGAAGCTGAACACCCTAGAGCCTAGGCTGACGTTAGGTCACCTACTTTGCAAGATTTTGGTTAAATGTAGCCTGTAGACCTGTTCAGCTTTGCCTTGTATGAGGTGGGCCGTGAGATAAGCCCGCAAAAGCTCTCAAGATCGTGCTTGGGGCAGCGTGTAACCGCCCAAATCATTGAAAAACCTGCCACCTCTCGTCATAATGTCAGAAATCTCTTCTCCTAACCAATATTTCGTTGACGTAGTTCTTGGCTCTTCGATCTCTCTGACCAAGTTGCCTGCGACCTATGAATCAATCAGCACTACTTCTTCGCTACATGTCGAGTCATCGCAACTCACCATCATGCTATGACCCTGTCTTGCAGGATCCACGCTTGTAGACACGATGGCAATAGCGACGTCCTCGGTTGTGTTCGCAGGTAGACCACTCTCTTTCCACTTCTCTGAGTAACCCGAGGTGATGTGCGTAGGGGTAAAGAAGGGTGCAACAACATTGACGCGGACGCCTAGCTGTCGGGCAACGGATTGTGAGGCTCGTGATAAGCCAACTACGCCATGCTTAGAAGAGATGTATGAGACTACTCCAGTCCCGCCAAAGTATCCGGACGTTGAGGCGATAAGTACAATAGAGCCTCGTGCACCGTCCGCGTCCGGTGGGTTTGATTTCATGGAATGAATAGCCATTCGGAGAGCTTCATGATGTTAGAGATAGACCAGGAGAGTACTAGTGAGACAATGTAGCTCACTGTTCATGGTGCCCTTCAAATTGATGTCGATGACCCTGCCAGCTTCAGTCGCCTCCATCAACTCCCCATGTTCGTCCTCTTCGAAGTCAAAGAACCCCTTACTCTCCATTGTCCCTGCATTCGCGACAACGATATCGATTTGACCGAACGTCTTTTTCGTCTCTCGAAAGAGAGCTTGTATGTCGTGCCAACTAGTGACGTTGGTGGGGTGATACCGGGCCCGTGATGGCTCTGTGAAAGATGCGATGAGGGCATTGGCAGCGTCATTGGAGGAAGGGAGATCAGCTATGACGATATTGCAGCCATGGTCATGGTAGGTACGGGCTGTTTTGGCGCCGATGCCGTTTGCGCCGCCTGTGATGATGACAGTCTTGGGCTTGTCATTGGGAAGGTGATAGCACGAAGCGCTTGTATTCATGTTTGATCCAAAATGAGCCTACCACCCCAGTTTAGTTTTCAGATATCACAGCCTTGTTCTCGAGTGCATGTGGGTGGTTTGAGAGAGACAGCTGCCCCCGGGGAAAGACGCGTTTCTCCGTGGGGCGTGGTGATGGGTGGAGGGTTACCCCGCTTTAGCGCGACGCGCCCCTCCGAAGACGCGTCGCAGTCGCGATCGGTCCTACTTGTCCACCCCGACTATCGGAACACCCAATGACGACAGCCAGCAACCATCCCGCAAGGCGCAACATCCTACTTCGAACTCCACCTTGATCGCACGAATAACACCATGTCGACCAGTACTATTCCGATACCTCGCGACCCAACCGATGACGAAGCTCTTGCCCTGTTCAAGGCCATAGAGGAGAAGTTCCCATCGCAGTCACTTGGAGATGACAAGTGGTATGTCCTTCTGGTATGGTATGTCTTGTATAGGCAGATTAGAGCATTGGCTAAGCCATTATAGCTCGCGGCAATGGTAGGCGGCGGGCAGCCGGGCTTCGCGCCTCTGCTCTACAAGGAACTCATCAAGCGACCCGAATGCCAAACACCCGAACAGCGTCAGGCGTTGATGCGGAGGATACGAGAAACACTATTCAAGCTCATCGTCATTGTGGGCGTGTGCAAGCCGCTGGAAGCCATCTTCGATATCGATGCCATTACGAGGCCAGAGGACAAGGATTATACATTCTCTAGGTATGAAGTCGTGCGTCGTCAGCAGGCGATTACAGAAGCTGACAACAACCAGAGAGGGATGGCAGTGTGACGAAGCCAACTCAAAACGTGGTGCAGCATGGCAAGGTCGCTTATACCAACACAACCAGGAGGGCATCGACAACGTGTTGGCATCACAAAAGGATTTCGGCATGTAGCCCCTGGCCGCTTCCTGATCCTGAGCTAATGCAGTATAGATTGGACGAGCAAGCAAATCACCTACGGCCTCTATCTATCCGATCACAGCATCCTCAACGACGTCGAGACCGAGCTCACCGTACTCAGCGGCATCATGATACAAAATCTGCCGAGAGAGACAGCCTGGCATTTGCGCGGGACAAGGCGCATCGGTGTCAGTAAGGAGGACGTGGAGATAATCCAGCAATGTGTAAGACAGCAGTCAACCTCTGTCTCGTAACGTGCACTGACCAGGCATAGATCGAGCTTGTCGCCAGCTTCTGTGGCTTGCGGCTACATAGGGTGCCAAGGGTCGCTGACATTGAGTATGAAGTCTGAGCGGATTGGTCACAGTCATTCCGCAGATTATATGCCCTGCTGACATGCAGGAGCAAACTTCTAGCTATGGTATAAGATATGCTCATTGACCTTGAGTCACAACCAGATCCAAAGTTATCATATGCCGACAATGACCCAGCAAGATCAAGACGGCATCACAACAGCAACAGTGTCTCCATCGCTCAGGCAATGGGCAGACCTTCCCGAGGAGCTGAAAATTTATGTCTTATGCTTTATCGTTGGTGACATTCCTGAAAGCCCCGTGCCAGACAGTAACTATACAGTCATCTTCCGCAAACATATGGAACCTATCTATGAGGTGCGGAACAAGGAACTGTACCGGCTGGCCCGGACCGCTTACTACAACAACAATGTCTTCGAAATCTGTATCGAGGAGAAACCGTCTCATTCGTCTCAACGAGTCACCTTTCGTTACCCTCCTGCAGAAATAGCAAGCATGATTCGGCACTTACGCGTTACCGTTAAGGCGTACACCATGGATGTTTCACGACTGGAACATATACTACTGTGCAATTCGCAACCTTTGGCCTTTATGCTGCAGGCAACAAGGCCCGTATTACAATCGAACGAACTAGGCCTGCCTTTACCAATCGTGAGATCGAGATGGCTCATGACGGCACCCCACGACAATGCCTGGCAAACTGGATTCACGAACCTGCATACTCTGAAGCTCAGCTTCCACTTCTTTGATGATGACAATCTCACAGAAGGCGATGAAGACTGTTGTATGTCGCCTGCATTGATAGAGGAAACGAGAGCGTGCTTAGCTGACACAAAGACGTTGTTCAAGGCAAAGGAGGTGGAACTTGACCTGACGCTGGAATGCCACAATAGCATTGCGCGTGTCTATTGCAATAAGCACACCGATATCATTGAACACTGGAAGCTGCTGGCAACGACGAAGAGTGATGGATAGCATACTAATCGCTCTAGTTCGTACTAAGTCCAAGTCTAGATTGATACGAACAGGCAAAAAGAGAGGTGAACCAAAGTCTACCACTATACTGACCCGCTCTGACACCGCTTTTCTTATCGACGGTGACGTTATCTTGCGAGCTGAGCATGTAGAGCAAACGCAGAGGTTGCTGCCTAATCCCTGGTCACCGTAGCTTTTGACTCTCACCTGTCGCGTGCGCGGTCATGACGCACGCACTAGTTGGCACGTCAACAACTCATATCGCCAGCTCCTTCTCTCTCTGCCACAATACACCAGACGCCGAACCTCACGGCTACCTCATCTGCTTAACTCCCTCTTTCAACGCTAACAATGACTCAGAACATACCCCCCGGCGGCACTCGCGTCGGCTTCGACGCCCTTCCCGATGAGCTCAAGGTCCAAATCCTCACGTACGCCCTCAGCACCGACAAATTCATCATGGCAAGGAACCACAAAGCCATCGAGGAAGGTTTGAACCTACCAACTTTGCTACTCGTCAACAAGCGCATGCATGCCCTTGCCGCACAAGTGTACTACAGCGACAACACCTTTGTCATTAGGCGCTCTGGCGTGTCTTGGGGGCACGTTACCCCGGGCGCCGACGACAAGTGGCGTTTCCCTCCGTTTGTGTTCGGTAGTCACGTTCGCAAACTGGTGATACAGCTGGAGTTGTACCGTCGCATTGACAACGCGACACAGTGCCTGGAGCCGTCGTTTGAGAACGATTGGCTGGTGCTTCTCCGTCCCCGTTCTGTCCACAAAGCTGCTACTCCCAACGCGCCACAGCAGGCAGGAGGGCAGGATTGGCAGACTCGATTCCCCAAGCTCACCGAATTGACGGTGCGACTGAGCACTTCTCTGCACTTGCATTTACAAATCAACAGTGACAGCGATGAGTACCGACGAGCACTACTTGATCTGCCAAACAAAGCAACTGTTGTGCTGCAGCCAAAGTTTTTGAAGCTCGAGAATGAATCAAGCGCGGAGATCAGGTCCAGTGACCCGATGCATGGCGCCATTCACAAGATGGTCAAGCTCAGAATTTAACCTGAATACCAGAAGAAAGGTGGTGGAGGTATGAAGAACTTGGAATGGTTTGTGTTTCAGCAGATTGGTGGCGTGGGTCAACAATAAGAGCGGCCATATAGACATTGCTATTCGGTTCCTGGAAAGGATTGCTGGCTGGTTTTGCTGGACAGGAGGATACTAGCGTAGCGTGCAAGGAGATCCGCCAGGAAAGCGGAAGCTTCGAATATGGATTGTGTTCTGTCGAGATCGTTCTGCACAAGCTAATGTCCATTGTCAATATCACGAGCAGTCAATTCCAGTACCAGTTCTTACCCATAGGCCAAAGGTGATGATAGATCATGCTGTCGCACCGTATCTAGTGACATCGTACTTTAGTACTTCGCTAACGAAATCTGTGAGCTCGAATACGGCGATGAGTACCGTCTCGGCCCGTTGTTTGATACGGCCTTGTATCCTCCAGTTTTGGCAAACCATACTCTCTTTTCGCACTCAACGTACCGGTCGCGAGTGACATCTTTGACTTCCTGCACGGACTGAACTGGAGACCATGGCTCGGTCTCACCCCCGGTAGGCGGACTGAGGAGTACTAGTGACTGCTCATTGCTTAGTCCAGAGCGCCCAAGGGCCAGCAGCCAAAGATCTGGTTTCTCAATACGTGGTCCTTGAAACTGTGGTGATATTATGGTCGTCGAATGCGATAGATTCTGAACCGGCTGGTCGAGAATATGGGGTAACGGGCTCTGTGGTATCGCTTGAGGCTCGGGTTTGGTTTTGAGAGGGATCAATGATTCAGACTCCGAACGAGAGGAGCTGGTAGCAGACCGCTTGTGCCCGCTGTCGACGTGTCCGGAACTTTTGTTTCTTGCGAACAATCTTCTTCCGATAGAATGCTTCATGACGTCTGCATCGACGGGACATCCAAGTGAAGTGCAGAGGAAGGTACCCGTTCTTGCGGACTGAACGAGATCTGGCAAGCGTGACTAGATGGCATGCATCCATGTCGTCGCCCCTCACGTCGGCTGCTGCAGAGCAGATTTGTACATCTAAACCCGAACCAGTTGTTCCACTTGAAGTACCACGCCGCAATATGCTCGTTATCGTTGGTGTCGCACAAGAGAGGGGGAGGTGCAGTGCACCAATGCGACTGCACATCGTTTGCGACACTGCATCGCGACAGCAGAAAGCGCGTGCAGTGGTGTATTGCGCGAGGCTGGTGGTTCTTGCCAGGTCTTCGCAACGCTCGTAGAGATCAGCCGATCGTCGTCATCCATGGATGTTCCCGGGGTTGTTGCGCACGTCATGGTGCCGAGAGGGAAGGAGCTACCCGGGCGGCCGGCACACGATGTCTGCGATACAGATCAGTAAACAAAAGACGTTGACGTACCTGTGCATCACCAACGTATTTGCTCAACGCAATCGACAACGTGAAAAGAGGTGGTATTCCAAGTGGCTATTCTTGCCTAACAATTCTCATACATGATCAAGGAAAGCCGTCTTTGATGCCCGTCCCACCCAAGTCTAATATAATGATGTAACATGCTTGAAAAATCGCTGTACAAAGACATAACGATAAGACATGGGACGCCTGTAGACGCCGACAGAAAAGTACTGCCATGAAATAGCAGCGGCGTATATGATGGTTATATAAAGGCCGTGCGGTAGATGGCGCAAGATTGGTGAAATAAAATGCAATGCGCGTGCGCGAGGTGAGGGTCAAAGGCCGTTGCGAAGTTCAGAGTCGTCCTACCACCCTTCATCTTTCTGGTTCTTGCCCTGTCCTTTCTTGGCCGCTGCCTTCTCTTCTTCGGTCATCTCGATGAGCTCCGCGCCCTCGAGCTTGAAGCCCTTTGCGTCGACGATATGCTCGCTCGCTGAGCCCAGATACGCCTCGTGTAATCGTGGCAGGAAGTACTGCATGACGCTGTCCGCCAGGTTCTTGGCCACCAGGCCCTTGTCAACCCAGAAATGTCGTACAAAGACGCCCTTGCAACCGCCTCGGTTCGCAGCCTCGGGTGCACCGTTGGCTTCGACGCAGGGGAGAACGCGAATGTCGTCCGGTCGGTCGTAGTCGTAGCGCAGGTAGTTTCCGAAAGCAGCTTGTTCGTGTGCCCAGTCGGTCTTCCAGTGCGCGCAGCCCTTGTACTTGGTCTCAGAAGGGCATTCCGCCCAGGCCTTGTACATCTCTTGTGTCCTCTTGCTCTGTCGTGCGATCACGAAACCAGTGTTCAAGTATCGGTTGCCCTTCGCATCGTAGTTTTGCGGTTCGTTCGGGTCAATGGACATCATCGCAAGGGTATCGTCGGTCATGTTCCAGTAGTTGAGCAGCCATTCGAGAGGTAGATGTGGGTAGTGGAACATGACATCGGAGTCCATGAAGACGATGTACTCGTGGGTCTTGAGCGCCTCCTTCATCATGGGAACCTTGACCCAGGTGCCCCACCGGTCGGCGTAATCGGGTGCGCGGATGAACTTGTAATCGTAGCCGTGTATTTGCGCTGTCAGATGTTAGCCGAGTCGCTCGTTGTCCACTCCACGTGCCGAACGGCCCTTGATGTCTCCTGTATGGTCGACAACGTACCAAACATGTAATGCCCGAGCATGCCCGCACTCAACGAGCGCATGCCCTTCCACTTCAATTGCGGGTCCATGAGCTGGCCCTTTTCCGTCAACGGCCGACTGTCGATATCCAATATGAGCACCTTCTTGCCCAACTTGCTCTTGAACTTCGGTTCCCCTGCTAGTCTGTATATATCTCCGTCCTCGTCGGTAAAGTTGGCAGCATCGATCGGATGTAATATCGGGCCGTAGAGTGCTTTTATTATCGTCGCCATGGAGATGTCGTCTTTGGGGAGGGAAATGTTTTGGGTATGCGGGAATCTGCGCCTCGTCAGTTGTTGCTAGAACTCAAGAATCGCGACACGTACTGTGCACGAAGACTGCTCGGCACGTATGAAGGAGAGCTGAAGTAAAGCAGAGCCAATGCCATGGGTATTATGGCAATCAACAGCACACGCCGCCATCTCCCCTGTGGTCCCATGTTGGCCAGCGATTGGTATGAGTAGTCGGCCATCGTCGCGGCTCGTCCTCTGGGGTTCAGAGGCCTAGGATGCGATTCAATCCGCCTGCGCGTGGGAGTCGTGTATTAGGCCCTCGCTCTTTTGCATCCAGATCCAGTTGGCCCAGTCCAATCCAATAATTTCGCAAAGATGCCGAATCTGAACAATGGAGGGTGCGTCGCGTAGTGGACACCACGGAAAGACGGTGGTGTGCGCAAAAAATGGCAATGTATGCGGATACCGGAGAAGCGCTGCGCCGGGAGCCAAAAAGGAGTGGTAAGAAAGGCAGGATGACAAGCAAAGTGTCCCTCTGCCTCAAAGGAGGCGGCCGACACGCCCCCAGTTTAGTGGCAGTTGTGTCAGTCGGTAGATCCTTGCTTCCATCCCTAAGCAATGCAGGGGCCACTACCGTCTGATTGGGCTTAGCTGCCGCGCCGGGAGAGGGCTGGAAGGCTGAAACGCCGAGATCTGGGATGCGCGCCCTGTGGCTGTGCTATGCTCCCCGTTAACGCGTGTGGGACTGCGATGAGGGTATTCGAGATGCAAACATGGGCATGTTATGTATTCACAACCTGGTTCTTGTGCGCAATGTGTCTTGCACTGGGTTAGACCAACGAGCCGGTGCCGCATGCGCCTTTACGATAGTCAGCTTAGTAGCCACTTTGTACACGCAAGCCTCTCGTACTCGGCTGTAGATGGCAGGATCGACACGGGTGCGGCGGTGCTGAAACATCACCATCAGTCGGAGCATAAGACGCGACCATCCTAGAAATCGCAAGCAAGGCTCATCGTGTCTTCCTTCGTCTCGACCTTCTCGCAATTGACTTTTGCTGAAACGCAGACTTGGTCGTACGTTGAGTGCCCAAATGCGACGACGACGGCTGACAAAAGCCTGGCTCGAGTATCTGTGGTACCGTGTTACGTCTGGCAGCGTGACGCAGGGTCTCACGCGAACTCGTTATGAACATAATCATGTTGGCTGTATACCTACGGACTACACTGACGTTGCAGCAGCAATCTGTAGAGTTTCGCGAGCGTGTCCATACTACACGTCTGGAGCTAGGCGTCCAACAAGCGCAATAGCTCGTAGTCCTTTGCAATACCAGGACTGCTTCTCGCACAACTCTCGATCAAGGTCATCATGATACCTACCCACTCGCGCCATCCTTCCGGCAGCGTTTCTCGTAATCTTGGGTCTGGCGACTGCGCTACGGCGTGAAACAATAGCACCTGTCCAAAGCACTGACAACACCACCCAAACTTGATTGGTAGAGCCGACAACATTTGCGTGCAAAGACCCATGGTAGTTGGCCAGTACATGCCACCGCGCAGACCCTCGCGCACCTCGTTGTACTCTGCATCACTGGTGAACGCTGGTGCATGCAGCGCTTTGTAGAGGAACGGACGGCCAATGTGGAACTTTGCGACGAGGTAGCGGCTTCGCAGCATGGCCTTCGCGATGACGTGTGCAGGGCTGGGTGAGTCACTGGCGTTGTCGGTGTCGGAGAACTGAAGCGACGGTGGGAGGTTTGCGCGCCACTGCTCTAGTTGGTGATGCATTTCTGCTGTCAAACTGGCGCTGGGGTAACCGTCTTTCTCCGCAAAGGTATACAGGCTCTGCTTTACGCGTGTCAGGATGATGCGATGGGCCGCTTGAGCGAGAAAGTGGAAGTTGAAGAAAGAGTCCTCTTCATCGGTAAGCAGTCCCGATATGGACGTCTTTGGCCGTGGGCATTGGGTAAACTTCGGTAGAGGCGTATCTGGCTCGTAGTCTAATAGGCCGCTATGCGGAAGTAGGTCCAGTTCCTGTGTGATGACTGTTTCGTACATCAAAGTACACCAAAACAGTCGTGATAACATATCGCCCTCCCATGTGTCATAGTCAATCGCTCCCGTGCGGGTGAGAATGCTAGCGCAACAGAGGGCCGCCCTGTTCACGGTGGTCCAAGAATCGAGAGGCCGGAGAATCTGAGCATAATACAGAGTCGAAAGCATGTAAAATTGACCTGCTTGAACATCGTTATCGCACATGAGGAAGCCGAAGCGATGCCTTGCTTCGTTGAAGAATTTGAGCCCCGGTGGATCATCTGCAACGAGTTCGTACCAATCCGGGTGCACGAAGCCACGTCTGGCTGGAGAGTGGCGCGAGGGAAGAGCAAAGTCGCCTTCCTCGTGAGCCTTGACAGCTAAGCAACCTAAGGCAAGCACATTGAGTACCAGCGCAGACTCCACGTCGTACCCGAACTCGTTCTCCATAGCTGTGCCTAGTGTGCTTGAGAAGAAATGATACTTGTCAAGGATCGGCGTGTTACGGTGGAAGACGGCAAAATAGGCATCTGCAAGGCCTTTGACTGCCGATTGCGGGAGGCTCATCAGCCAGCTCTCAGGGACAGTGCCGTAGGGACGATCGATATGTATCGGCAGCTGCGCTCGCCGGTTCTCAATATCGACTATGTAGTCCTCTGGAAGCTCTGCTCGGACAGTGACGAAACCGCTAGGAAGTATTTGCTGTATGGCCGGCCAGAGCGCGACACGATGTTGGCTGAAGGAAAGATTTACTGCGCCTTGGACTTCCATCACCGGGAAAGGACTTTTGGCGGGAGATCCCACGACTTGTGGCGACATTGCTAACTCGTGTATGCTTAGCCTGCCATTATGAGAGTGGTGAGAGGGCATCGCTGAGACGTGATATCCTGGACTTGGTTGTGAGAAGATGGTGTGAGGTGACTGATGGTCGTTGATAGGCCCTGCCGGTGAAAGTGGTAATGTAGACGACGGCTTTGGTGTATTGATCGCTGTTGTCAGGTCTTCGATCTTTGCTTCCAGTCTTCGGATAGCATTGATTGCCAAAGTCAATGACTGGTCTTTTTTCGTACTGCGTGGTGCCTGATACGTGCACTCCAAGTTCATGTTCCTACAGTAGCCGCATCTTGGCCGATCTTCATCACAGCGCGTCTTCCTCGATCTGCAGATGTCGCAAGCCTTCTCTAGTCAGCAGAGCAGTGCATGTCATTTCTTGACCACATACCAAGGTCGCCATGAACGATCGCGGCTTCTTCAGCGACGAGCCATCCCCGTCCTCGTGGCTTCCGCTACGCTCCCCATCGTAGGACGTCTGCCGCTCTGGAGGTTCTGCTTGCGAGGAGGATATGTTGGCATGGGACCTCTTGGTCATAGCATATCACGATGTATTGTCGATTTCGCGCATGGGAAGCGGTGTGAAATTGCCAAGGTTGTAGGAGATGACTGGGAGCGATCATGGCCGGCGACGGAGATGACCATGCTAGCGTGCACAGACCAAGGCGGAAGTTCAATCTTGCCCAGCTGCCTACGGCCTCCATCTTTCCTACACCAACACCTTGCCTCACTGCCTTGCTATTGACCTGTGAAATTTGCACTCATTGACCTCAACTGATACAATTACAGATCTCTCGCACGGTATTGCGACACGACAGTACGACCAAGCTCGTTCTCGACGTATCGCGATCCTGATACCGAAACTTACCCTAAGGTAATGCGCTCTACGGGCGATGTAGCAGTGTATATCCTGGGGTACGTTCGAGGTACGGTTCGCAGACCACGAGCTTGTTCGTATGCGTGCCATGCGCCCATGCACCCATTAGTCCTGGACCTCGACTTTCGCGTCCGCTGATGTGTGTCCTGCCGCGCAGCGTGGCGACTGCGACCTGTTGTCTCTGATACTATTGCCATGATTCTAACGTGATTTGCCAAATTCCGTCCTCTGTGACCAACGACTAATGTATCTCCAGGTCCACATGGCTCTTCTCCGCCGAGGTTTGCCTACATGATGTCCTGGTATCGCCCGTGCCCGGCCTGCTCTCTGGATCTCTTTTCGATGAGCATTGAAGTGGCGCCTTCATGCTGCCGTCGCGCTGTCTTCTGCAGCCAATTTGCATGTTCCTCCTCGTTGGCTTGTTGCGATACCTTCCTGCGCCGAAGCTGAAGAGTTTTCTTGCCACGGAGTCACCATTCTTGTCTCGTAACCTGGCCTATCTTGCACAGTGCAGTTGTTCGGACAGTCTTCTTCTTGTCATCTCGTCCAAGTTCCTTCGACTCGTTGTCGCCGCCGTTGCGGAGAAGATGGGGGAGGGTCGTGGGGGTTCGAGAGGAGCAGGCGCGGCAGCTTGCATCGGCAACGACTGTGGGCAAGGTCTGGTTCGTCTCGTGAGAAGTATGCGATGGGTACGGCCCACTTCCTGTGCTGTCGCTTCGTCAACTGGGGGTGCAGCTGGTGCTCCAAAATATCGGTGTCGATATTGGTGGTCGGTGTTTGGTAACAGCTTCCCCGCGGACGCAGCCAGCTGTGCAACGCAAAGAACAACCTGACAAACGAACGCCATAGCTGTCTCCAGCCAGCTTCATGGCACTTCCACAGCAAGCAAAGCAAGAATGAAGGCATCAGACGCTACTCGGGCTCTTCTTGCAGGATGGCACAGCTTTATCGACGTGCGCAGCCTCCTGGAAGTCAGTTTCCCAATCTTTGGAAGGCTCCTCTACCTCAGCGATTGCTTCGGCCTTCCACCATCGTAGCCCTCACCCTTTCACTTGGTACCAACAGAGCCACGCCGTCGTCTAAGTGTCTTGATTCGCCGGACTCGTACGGATATCCAAGGAAGCCACCTACCCCTTTTAGATCTAGTCCTGGACATACTCGATTCGTTCTTCTTCCATCGTCGCTGAAAGAAGCATCACTAGTGATTGATTCACTGCCAAGGCAGCATTCATACTGCCAGAAGGTCTCCGGTAGCCTTTCTGCCGCCAATCGGAGCCCAAAGAAGACGTCTAGTCAGATATGAAGGCTACTAGTGCGGTGAAGGACACAGAATGGACAGCCCCAGGACGAATCAGAGGCCATATAATAGGGCAAGGGCCCGGTTTCATCGCAGACTTCATGCTTCCATTCTGCAGAATTAGGAAGCTTCATACTTCCTCGCTCTTCTTCAGCGGCGTACCGTTCTTCTGGAGGAGACGCTAGAGGGTCTCCCTCTGTCTATATAAACTGGCCTCCCCCTGCCTCCCTTCAGTTCCCTCAGCCTGAAAGTTCCTCACTTCTCCAGTACAAAGTCGCCTTCAAACTTCTTTTTCCGAGCACTTTCAAACCTCCTCACACACCTCGAAACACAACACGCTTCCTCATCACCTCCACTCACATCGGCTACAAGCACGATGTCTTCTCCAAACACCATCACAATGGTGACGCCCGCGCCTCGTCAGAGCGTTGTCCTCCCCAACGAAATCCTCAAGATGATTCTCATGAACATACTCATCTTCTCCACGGTCTCGCCTCGGGGCAGGCCAATCAACGCGTCCCGCTTCGCCATGCTCCACAAGTGCATACTGCACAAGCTCTGCGTCGTCTCTCGCCAGTTCCAGGCGGTCGCTCTCCAAGTTTTCTACGAAGAAAACTATTTCGAGTTCATCTCAAAGACATCACACCGCGCGCCACTCATGCCCTCTGTCCACCTCCTCCCCTCCCTCCGCCATATCCGGGTGCAGCTTGTCCTCACCGACAGCTACGCAGGAGAGCCGACTGTACTGCCCGACCGCATCCTCGACAACAGGATATACTTCCGCAACACTGTCGACCTCTTCAAGCACTGTCGCAGTGCCCACACCTTGCGGAAGCTCTCTGATCTGATGACCATGCAGAATCTGAGGACGATTCAGCTTCACATCACTCCCATCTTCAGCAACCCCGACTCCGAGGCGGCGGTCGCTATCTACCATCAGGCTCGCTTCATGATCGGCGCTCGTGATGAGTTCAACATCACCGTCGAGGCTGGCCTCTCCGACTTGAGGAGCGCCATGCTGAGCGGACTCTGGGCAGCTTTGTGAATTGTTTGTGGTGGTTGGTGGGGTTTGTCGTCTCCTGGCTTGGTCATTGCCATAGTGTAGTGCAGAATGAGATTCTTTGTCTTCTCCAACATGCTTTTGTGCATCGTGAATGTCGCTTGTGATTACTGTGAGTACCTCTTGGCTATTGTGACATATTTCAATATGATGATTTACACTGCTACGTATGTCTTCAGGCTCAAGCATTAGGTGCATGATCGATCGCTGATAGTACGTTGAAGGACTCTTGGCTTACTTTTGAAGTTCCCTATGACTGCTAATAATGTGAGGGAGACTTCTACTCCTGACATACTGTTATATCCATTTCACGACCTCAGCCTCCACCTTGATAAATGGCTTTGCCGCTCTCCAGCCTTGAATGACCACCTCTTTCTTCGCCCTAATCACAAGACCCTCAACTCTCAGTTGGTTTAAAGCAGTTTTTCTTCCGCAATACATTCCCGGGGCTTCTTTTATCACCAAGCGCAAGAATTCGACTCTAGTAAGTCTGGCCCTTCCAGAACAAAGCTTGACGAGTGTCTGCCACTGGTATGAAGTGGTAAAATCCCGACTAAAGTGTTCCAAAGAGATCACCAACTCCAGTCGCCGAATATGCTGTCTGGCATGTGGCGGGGGCAGCAAGATAGGACTTTCCCGAGGCTTATCTTCCATCAACACCTTCAGAGTTATCCCGCGTGAGGCGCATCGAAACTCGTTCTCGCGGTAAAAAGCCTCTAGAACGAGGGGATAGAGTGACTTGGATATAACCAGATACCTGGCCAAGCGACCGTTGCGAGATATATGGCTCTGAAATCGATCGGCGGTCACGGGTAGTGGTACGGAGCAGCCGGGGCGGAGATGAAGAGCGTGATGGAGGATTTGGATAATCAGCTCGTTAGGGAGATGCGGATTGGTATTCGGTGGAGACGCCATCTCTTCTGACTGGGTTGAGGAGATGGTTCGGCTTGACAAGCCTTTTGAAGCTAATGATGGCGCGCTATCCGTTGGTAAAGTCGAGGGTAGTGAGTCCAGTGCACTAAGGGTGGTGTGAGTCGAGTGGGAACCGATCTCTGCCATGGTCAGTCCTCCGAACAGTTCAACCAGCTGTCCGAGTGGGGAGTCGACTTGGCTGTTCATCTCTTCTGGGTGTGTGGTTGCTGCGTACCGACGTGATCTTGACCCGATTGCAAGGACTTCCGGTTTGACCGACCTTTAGTGCGATATAGATATTGCCGAACTGTTCGAGTAGATATGAGAGTCCGATTCAGAGGAACAGGATCTTCCTTTTGTTAGCATCGCATAATTCGAAGTCACGTAACTATGGGAAATGGCAGCATGGAACCATGGTTTGCAAGTGGATCCCATCATGGTGTCGAATAAGGTATAAACCAAAGGTGACTTTGGATAGCTCAGTATGAAGAAAGAGACAGGTCGACCTGAACGGCATTTTAGTCCTTCTTGGATGGAAACGTTGGTAATGCTAATAGCAAACATGGCAGGCGCGGGGGTGGTAAACAGCGACTTGGTGAGGGCTTGTCTGGGGTGTCAGCTTGAGACAGCGAATATGGGGCAAGGGCATCTTCGCATATCTACTGCACATGGGCGAGCTGTCGCTGTGTCGAAAGGTGCGTTCAGGGAAGAGTGGATGAGAAACTCGGAAAAGTATCCGTCGCGTGTTTGGCCAGAAGGCGCGACCCGCGCGGAGCGTCCCCTGTCTGCCTTGCCTTCCTCTCCGCGCTATCTTCCCCACCATTGTACCCGGTTCCCCCATT